TAGGTGTGTCTTTGCACAGGACCTGTTCTTGGTGCATTTTAGGCTCAATTTAGCTAGATTACACTGCTGATTGTGTTGTTTTCACTGTAAAACACTTTTGCTGTCAGGCTGACCCATCACAGATGTCTACCAAGTATTATAGTTCATCTTTACCACTAATGACACCATGGAAAATAACCAAGCAATTTCATGTCTCTGCTTTCAGCCCTCCTCCTTGTTTTTTTTAAATGGAGCTAAAATTGTAGTTGTCATATTAAGTTTCTTATTTACTCTAGTTACGGTTTCAATAAGGGGCTTATATCTTCATTGTGATTAATATCTTCATTAAAATGAGAGTGACTTGAAGTTTAGATGCTATAAAAGTGGTATTTTTGAAAATATAATTTACTTAATGTTAGCAGTGATAAACTAATAATTAACACAGAATACTATGTTCAGCTACTTCAAATCTGTGAGTATTGCTAAACCAGCTGCGATTTCCTACTCTTAGAACCCATTTTTATTCAGGACAGTTTTTAAGGTGAAAAAATGGAACTCATTTGCATTTTAATTTATTTTTTAAAAGTTTCTTTAGTTGAGCTTTTAAAATTTAGTTAATTCAGTCACATCAAAACTACAGTGTTTTTTGCAGCCAGCTAAAACTGTACTGACTAGAAGTTTTATGACTTTTGTTTCCAGCCCCCCTCAGATGGTGCTGCATTTCTTTAAAAAATGAACGGATGTATGTAGAAGCATATTTTAAAGATATTTATGTTTACTGAACTTAGTTCCTATATTAGAAGTCTAATTTTTTACTTCAAGTAGTCCTGCAGATCAGTAGTGTAAAGCATGAATCCAAAATCAAAATAGTTTAATTTCTTAACTATGAGCATCTATTTTTAGTGTTTGCAGTTAAAGATTAGCAAAATTGTATTCAATTTAACAGCTCTTGTCCTTATATTTGCTTTATGTGTAAATGACAATATATAAGCTTTGAGATATAACTCCACAGAGTTTCTGCAAATGCTCAGACAGGATAATATTTGCATAAATTGCATGGATATATTTAGAAACGCTAAAGAGATTGTGCCAAGAAAAATGGTTTGTCCAAGAATTTAGTGTTGAAACTTGCTGTTCAGAGAAAGCTGCCCTTCTCACCTCCATTCCACATTTAGATGTATTGGGAGAGAACTTCTGAAATGTGCACTCTGCAGATGTGTTCTGTGTGACGTTGTCAAGAAGTCCTTGTACAACTGACTGTATCTATGGGTAGGACACAATGCTTCACCAAGGTTGTGTAAGCATGTAAAAATTCAGAAATAGTTACCACTTTTCTGTGAACTTTCTTACATAGTCTTAACCTTTAAGCAGAAATGACAATCTGTCACTTAGCCATACACCTCTGAATCTCTAGTTGTACCAAAACCACGTTTTCAGTGCTGCTGTGTATGAATGCAGGTTTGATTCTGGTATGAAAGTGTAGGTCACACAGGATTCAAATATTTATGCAGTTAAAAAGAATTAAGAAGTGACTGTGAGAATTTGTAGTGCTTGAGGGAGGTTAACTATTGGCTCTGGGGAAAAAAAATCAGCATTATGTTGTGACATTCCACGGAGATATGGACCTTCTGACACAGCAAGAGTTCACATGCTTCTTAGCACAGGGCTGATGAGCCACAGAGGTGAGGGATATGCAAAATATTTTACAGGAATTCAGCCTACACAAAGGGGCTTTTGGAGTCGGGATGATACAAAACTTGTTTTAACGTATACACTTACATACTAATGCCTTTGTACTACTGATTATCTTTAGTTTCATTATTTCAACATGGTTGATAATCAGTTATCTTCTGAAAGAACCTGAAATTTCATTTAAAGCAACATGGAAATAGTTTCAGGAGTTCAAACTATTTCAGTGTTGCTTTAAAGGAAGTTCCTGGTTGTTTTAGAAGATAACTGATTATCAGCCGTGTTGAAATAATGAAACTAACGATAATCCCAAGAATTAGGACTATTTCCATGTGCATGGAAAACTGTCTAAACCCATCATATTCCATGGTAGTAGTTTCCATGCTTGTCCCAAAGAGCGAGGAAAATCACAGTGGAAGTTTTCTGATTGAATGGAGCATGCTATAGTAGAACTGTACTTGTTCAAACCGTTGTGGATTTTCTACAGCAGAACTTTCCAGAAAATCTTTGCTGATGTGGCCTACATTATTTAATGACCTTTACGTTTTGCTTTGAAATGAAAACTTCATATTCACTTAGATGATAACTGTGCTTATTAACGATATATATGTATTTGGGGAGCACAAAGCAGTGTTGTAGCATTCTAAAGCCTAGTTACACAAAGGTTTAAAATGAACCTTGTACCCAGAGAATTATTCACTCCGTTTGAGATAGTTAAATTTCAGATATTGTTGCTATGTAGTATGTCATTCATCAGTGTGAACTGGAATAGATGTTAAAAATTTGGAGCACTATCATGTGACTGTGACCCAAGTTCACAAATGGATAGCGTGATGTGGGTAGTGAGAGAGCAGAACACAATTCCCATATTTAAATCCTGTGTTACTTTATTCACAACATTTTTCATTTTATACAGTGCATGCTTATTGCATGTTTCCACTTCCAGAAATTAAGTCATACAATTCAAAGAAACCCACACCACACCCCCTTTTAATAGCTTTGTAGACATGACTTTGCAAAGTGTAAAGGGGTTGGGAAAAGATTATTTCTTCTGCTTCCAGCAGTGCAAGACCTTTCACTTTGGATATACAGAACTTGCAAACCAGAATGATGCAAGGGTGAAGTTAGGATCATTGCAGCATGTCAGCCAGTGGAGCAGTTCACGGATGAATCACAAATACATGTTATGTGTTTTACTTTTCTGGTTTCCAGAGCAAAGTTAAATTTAGAGTGGTGTCCATTTGCCAGATAGTCAGGTGTTATCTCAACATATATGTATAGGAGTTATCAAAAAATAAATAAGAAAATCTTATTTAATGAGCCTGTAACAAAGATGTGTCACACAGTTTAGTCCAGTTTTTATCAATACTAGTTCTTTTCCCTTGTTAGCTACAGAGGTAGCAGAACATGTTTTCTGTTTATTCAGCATTGGTTTTTGCAAGAGCACTTACTACCTCCCAAGTGCTGACTTCAGCTGAATTTAAGATAAAAAAACTGATGAGATACCTTCAGGATGCTAGGCGACAGAGGGGAGCAGATCCAGCTTTGTCACTCCTCACACCTTCTATAGAAAGCAAATTTGCTATGGTAAGCAGGTTCTTTTCGTTGTGCTATTGAGAAACAAACCTGCAAGGGCATGGAAGCAAATTAGTCACTTCCATTTCAGTCTGCTGCTTCTCAGGACAACCAGAGAACTGAATGAAGGCCAAACAGTCCCAAAAGAAGGTTGCTGTGAACAAAAAATAGTGCTGGTGACTTGTTGGCACTCAAGCTGGTTTGAAGATCACCTTGCAAAGTCTCAATGGCGTTGGTCTGGGACATACAGGAGACAAGAGAAACCTACTTTTTAAATTTATCATTAAAATTATCTAAGGGCTTCCAAAAAAAAGAAAATAAAGGATCTGAAAAAATGAATGTAACAGGTCACATAACCAACAGGAAGCCATTGCTCTTTATAGTTGTTCATGAGAGCTGAAAAAAAGGCTTTTCCCTCTTCATCTCAATGTTGTATCAAGTTGACTAAACTTTATAAGAAAGACGAAAGTAAGATCTTAGTTTTGTCATGTCTTGTTTTGCAAAAGTGTTGCTAAATTCACAGTCCTACTCATAGAAAACATCTGTTTTGAAGCTTGCTTTTTCTCCCCCCATACATGAGTAATACCTGCTTGCTGAGGGACATAGTTTGAAATTAGTCTGTTACATGCTGAACTGTCACGGAAAGATGTGAGCGTGGCTCAGATACCTTCTGTCCCTGTTCTACATGTACTAAGTGAATAGCTGCATCTTTAGTGAATTTTAGTGGTCATGGGTTGTGTGTGGTGTATTTCATCCTACTCCTGTTGAATTATTCCTGTGCAACCAGAGAGAAGACAACAGTAAAATTAAGGAATAATTACAAGTTTCCTACAAGTGCCATACAGTCCACCAAGAAGCTTTGCAAGTAGAAGGGATTAAGGTTTTATGCAAATTGTTTTCAGTCTCTGAAGGTAGTCCAGAAAGACTGAGGAAGTGAGAAGTCACCTTTTTTCTCTCTGTAACTTGGGTGTATTAGAAAACATGGGAGAAAATGTCTTTGTTGAACATAAAATCAGTGAAAACACTTATGATTTATTACAATAACTTTTATTACTTTCAGTAAAAATATTTACAAGACATCATGGTAACCCTTCTTAATCTTCACGTGCAAAAAAAGTGTTCTCTGTAAGACTGATAATCTATCAGTAAGCTTTATAACATTTTACTTCTGTAGTTTAGCTTTAATTTTCCAACCTTTAACCATTTAGTGCTGACCATTTGTAACTCAAGTCTCTGTGAGCAAAGGGTCTCAGATTAATCACTCAGAAGCCAGAAGTACAGTCTCAGCAGGGGTCTGAGGGCCCATATAATGTACTTAGACAAGTACCAAGAAAATGCTCTCATTCATATAAGGTGACTGCCCTTCTTGTCCTGTAGTTCCCCACCTTACTCACTATTTAACTTCTGCATGAAATGAAATTGAGCTGTTACAGACATTAGTCTCCTTCATTAAACAGCCTAATGCTTAAATCTGCTGTGGATCACGAGGACTGATTCAAGCAGTTCTTCAGAAAGAAACAGGCAATCAGAGGCTATCAAAATGCATATGCAGAAGTTCTTCATAATGCATCTCTAATTTTATATTTGGATGCTATTTAACTTACTGTTAATAAATTTGGGTATCTTGAGCTTTTTTATTGTTGTCCTTCTCCATAGTGTCTTAGTGTACAGCCTTAGAAGTCACCTTTGTCTATCACGTTTCCTGTTAAAAAGTATAGAACTTGTATTCCAATACTAAGGATTTTGTTCTCTTTTAGGATCGAAATAGAATGTATGACAGTCTGAATATGCACTCTTTGGAAAACTCCCTTATTGACATTATGAGAGCAGAGCATGATCCACTTAAAGGTATGTTGCTATGCTAAATTAAGAAAAAAGGGTCATCCATTCTGCATATTTGAATTAATACTGATTGCTAATTTAGATTCTAGCTTCATATTAAAACAGTGAATGAATTATTTTTTGAGGTCACATGAAAGATCAACTCAAGCTGTATTGTATTGAAAACATTTGTTTACAGTGGTTTTATAAAACTTCAGCTTTAGTGTCTTCAGAGATTTTTCTCCCTCTTACCCCCATACTTCCCTCCTTTCTAACAAGATATTCATAGTTTTATTTGAAAATTATTTGTCTGCTCTAGGAAATCCTGCCTGAGTTTGTAAACATGCACTGTCCTGTTAAAGGGAGCCAAAAGGGCGTGTGAGGGGAATCAAACCGCTAACGTGTTGGCCTCTTAATTTTCCCTTTCTTTGCAGTGGAAGCTGAGAAGAAAATTAAGTCCACTGATAAATGCAGGTTTTTTTCCTTTCAAATATTTTTTTTGAAAGCTCGTGGAGGATAATAATGCATTTAATTGTCCAGTTTGTCTGAGGAAGTCCAGAAATAGCCTTGGCTTTAGAAAGCTGGTTCCTCTTACCCTGGGCTCTTAACCTGCTGGGATCTGTTCAAATCATTTGTCACAGCAGTAAGCATATAGCTAATATTTATGGGCTTTGATTTTAACTCCTCTATTCACTGTACATTAACTCACTCTTTCAAATTCTGTTTTTCCATACTTAAGAGGTATTTACTTGTTGAACTTTGGGGCAGGGAGCCCAAGCCATTTTACTTGGCCTAATCAAATGTTACTTAATTTGTGGTATTATAATTAGACTAACACGAACTTTAAAATTATCTGAAACTTCAGGCTTGCTTAGCTAAAATAAAGTCTCTGTGTTGAAGCAATTGAAAAAAAATTTTCCTTTTTATGCCATTTACTCCCACCCATTCTCCATTTCTAGAGGCTCCAATATTACATTGGCATATGAGGGTCGATGTTCTCCTAATCTGAAAGACTCTTTGCTCGAGTCTGTTCATGCTTCTCTTAAGATCTGTAATCAGTTTGAAGACCTGAAATATTCAGATAGCATGTGTCACAAACTGGTACCGAAGGGGCACCGGCTCAGGCCGTTTGTGACTTTAATTAGGAAAAAAAGGACTGAGGCCGAGACGCCCACGTGGCACTCGCCTCCCAGGGGAAAACAAGTCGAAGCCCCTCACTGCGCTCAATAATCAGTGTTGAGACCAGATATAGATAGATAGATAGATAGATAGATTAGTCCGAAAACAAAAATTTATTCCGGTAACAAAGAAAAAAAATAACAGTATTGTAAGATATACAGCGTAAAGCCAAAAGTTTGTAGGGTTTTTTTCAAGCCAAAATCTCTACAAAGCATCAGTAAGTAGGTAGTATTTAGTTAGCCAGTTAATTTTCATCTTCTTTAGAGTGGAAGTTAAATTTTCTTACATGTTCTTAAATCTGATCTCGTTTCTTACTGCCTACAGAGAATTCATTCCAGTTTTAACAGTTTTATCATTTAAGACTATTATTAAATTCAATATCTGTGTATTCTGCATGTTTACAAAACGTTACTTAGTAACTTAAAAGAGTTGGGTAACTGTTCACAAGATTCAGGTGGTAACTGCTATGGACAAAAGCATGCATATGTCACCAAAGACAAGTTAGCTAGGTAGATCATCCTTGTTTCAGTGCATTGGTGCTTCAGTTTGTCACGCCCAGGTGGTGACTAGTTGTTCTTTGGTTATCTGAACCCGAATCTACCACCAGGAGGGATATTAAAAGCTAAAGCTACTCTTAGGCATACAGTTAGAGAATGCAGACCTTCTATTGCAGTATACTGTCATGGGCACCTCTGACATTCTTAAAAACCGGTTGGTTTCTTCACTTTTTCCATGCACGTTGACATGCCAGATGGAAATGGTTGCTCTGTTCCCCCTACAATCTCACCATTTTCATTTTGGCTTTATAATGCAGAAAAAAACTTCAGCAATCACAGAAAAGACCCATTTTTATTTTTAATCTCTTCATATTTCATTATGTTACAGTAGACTAAAATTGTCTTTCCAATAATAATTTTTCAGTGAGAATAAGACAAAACGTGTAACATTGTAAAGTTAATTGGATTTATACCTAGACCCTTTACAAAAACTCAGTAAGTTATTCTGTGCTTTCTAGGGACATGAGTATATGGTTTCAGTCTACAGTTAATAGATTTTTTTTTTTTTAACAGTTTCACCATCATATTCTTGCAGTGTTAAATTTTATGTTAAACATAAAAGTGCTAAGTTTTATGATTGAACTTAAACAGATGGAAGCCATAGGTAGTGATGAATTCAAAGGAAATCCTTTTTTTGTTTGAGTGCCAGAGAAAAGTGCACACACTAACTGAATTTAAATAGAGTAATTGTGTGCTGTTATTTAAATTAAGATTTTTTTCTCATTGGAAGTTATTATTTCAGCTGAAACAGCTACGTTATTAGCAGTTACACATGAGAAATGTTTCTTGCTGCCTGAAAATGGAAAGAGATCACATCCTAGAATAACCTTTTAATTCCTCTCTACCCATCTTCTGTTCAGTCACCATTAGTTGGCATGTCTGTAATTTCCTAGCAACTTTTTTATTTTTCTGCAAACCATGAAACACTAATTTTGTCATTTCAGTTTCTGTGGCTTCTCACCACAGAAAATCTGGCATTCAATTAAGAACCCATCATATTTGCTTGCAGAATGCACATGATTTGGGATGTTATTGTTACTTATTGATATATAAAGTACTTCATTGTCATAAGAATATTCTCTAGTCACAAAATATTATTTAGTTACAAGTTTTGAAGTGAATCTAAGTGCACTGCAACAATGCATCTTTTATATCTGACCACAGCAGTAAAATGAAGTCTCTGGAATTTTAAGCACGTGTTTCAGATTTAGCTGCTTACAATATCTGGAGTCTGACTAAGCATCTTGTCTCAGGTTTTGCACAATGCAGAACAGACAGTGTGTGTACTAGCCCACAGCTTAATCTATGCATTTCAAGATCCATTTTAGAAGTAAAATTTCACCTCTCACTTTCATAAAGTTTTTTCAAGTTTATTTCAAATATGATTCACTGAAAGCTAAGTTTAGGCCTGCCAAAAAGCTGTTTATAGATGCACAGGTTCATCTTCACATATACGAAGTTCAGTCATTGCTACAGACATGATCAAAAGATGTAATTTGTAGTTTTCAAGAAGACTTTTTTTAAAGGTAGGCTAATAGAGAATAGGTACTTGACTTCACTAGTCATTGCAGCAGAAATATTGATTATACTAAAACTAATCTTTCCAATGCAGCTTTCTTGAAATGCATGTCACCATAAGACATTAATGTTTAAGATTATCCTATCCAATCAATGGAATATAAACTGAAGTTAAAGTTAAAAGAAGTTAAAATACATTAATTCATTTTTACATTATCGTTCTTAAATGCACTCTTTATTCTTTTAACAGCCCTTAAAACTATTTTGACAGAATTACAATACTGATAGCCTGAAATACAAGAGAGTTGGTGATGTAGTTCATTTCCAGACATATCTCTTGTGCACTTGTATTTTTTTTTCCCTTCTCCTCACCCAAATACCAATGCTTCTTGATGACAAGATGTAGAAAGCTAGACATCTCAAAGAGGATAGCAAATACATTTGGGCTAAAACAGACTATGGTTATATTTTCCATGGAATATGTATGGCTTACCTGTGGGGAAAAATAGCTGTGATGCACTTTAGAAGTTTATGTTGCTTTTTCTTCGTTTTGTTTTTTCCTTTAAATTGGTTTAGTTAAGCTTTTCAGCTACCTCCTGGCACACACTTGGAGAAGTTAAAAGCATTGCTGACTCAGTGACACCATTAAGAACACTTTATTTCTTTGCATATGGTAACTTCAGTTTTCAAAGAAATTTAGGTTATAGTTTGCAGTCTGAAGCTCTAAGGTTTAAAGTGACACCATTGCTTCCCAGAGTAATTCAAATTGCAGGCAGAGAAGAGTTTCTGAGGCTGAACAAAAATATACTGAAGGAAAAACTTCGCTCTTGTCATATAAAAAGCTTTGTAACTGTACATATAGGTAGTTTCCTCTTTGTCGCAGAAACTTTGTGATAAAAGAAGACATTTAAGACTGGTAGACTGATTTGCCTGAATAGATCAACTATCAGAGAACAACAGATTTGGCCTTGTTATGACTTATATAATTCTTACGCAAGCGTTCAGAAGTGTAGTATCTAAGAGCTTTCTGTAACTAGGTGTTGTCCAAACATGGTTTTGTGCTGTTGTCCTAACGACACTGATTCAAAAACTGAGCTGTCTGAAACTGCTGCAAGCGTCAGCCATTCACCGGTCTGTTAAAGTAGTTTGGGAAAAAACTTGACTCGGAAGGTTTTTTTCTTCCAGTCAGGAGATCTCTTGAAAAAAGGTAGGAAAGGAATTTGTGATTCTTAGTCTTTAACCACTTCAGACTTATTTAAAAAAAAGAGGATGGAATAAATATGAAATACCCAATTTGTGAAACTGAGTCAGCAGTGTTTAACGCAGTCATTACACTTAAATCTATCCCAATTTAACTGTTTAAATAGGAACAGAAAGTATGCATTTCCAGAAAGTAGATATTCATATGCTTTGAAATGAAAAATTAGTAAGAACTACTATATCTGTATGCTCAGAAAAAAAAGCTTACAGGAACATTTAAATTTTCATTGCCATATTAGTAATGTGATATTACAGAAATGTGGCTAACACTAAATTTGTTACTCTTTTCTCATGGTTTGGATTAGGAAGACCTTTAACTGGATTTACTGGAGAGACTGGCCCACTAAAATCTATTTACAAGCTTTTTGGTTTTTGCTGTCCTTTCAGAAGAATACACTGTGAGAAACTGAGATCAGGCGGTTCTGTGAACCTTAATCACATTTAGATATGGAAGAGGGGGGTACATTTAATAGAACTCTAGTTGCATAAGAAATGTCAAACATACCTGCTTCTCCACAGCAATACTATTTTGAAATTAGTCCTACTGTATGAGAACTACTCATTAGCAGTAACATGGTAAAGTTGCAAGTTCAGGTTTGCACAGTGAAAATTTCTGTAACATGAGACTGTGATACAGTGCTGTAATATTAGGCATTGTATTTGTTCCAGGCAGCAACCCGTTACTAATTTTGGATGCTTTAGAGCTAAGTTCTGTAGATAGCCAGTGAAGTGATTACTTTTCATTTCTCAGGAACAGAGCAGCTCTATTATTTAAATATTAAATATTTTCTAATTTGTAGTTGATTTAAACTTCCTAGTTTTATATATTACTTGCATTTTATATATTACTCAAATTACTTTCTTAAGCAGATGGAGGCCACTGGAATTGCTAGAATATCTATTGAGGGGTTTCTACGATTCTAGATGACTGACATGGAAGTCAGATGGGATTAGGTGGGATCTGTGGTGAAGGCAGTTCTTAAAATGGTACATTTAAGGTTTTCTAAATGCATCGAACACCATGCAGTGAAAATAGCTGACTGAAAGGAATATGTGATAGAAGCAAGGTAAATTGTTATAAGATAGTGCACCCATCTTCTGTATTTTATATACTGCTATTTTAGATGACGTTTAATATTGTGTATCTCCATTTAACTAGAATGATCTGTTAAAAAAATAGTGTAATCTGAGCTTTGTATAAGGCTGATCGTGTATGCAGTTCCAGGGAATGAAGCATTCTGAATTTGTGCATCATTAAATTCATGTGGACACCCTAGAAACACTACATTTTGCTTCAAGAGGTTAATCTGAGGAATAAGAACCTAAGTTAATGTATCAAATAGCAGTCATTGTATTTTGAAAAAAGGAACCTTCTGTGTCAAAATTTATTTTAAGGTTAAGTCCCAAGTACTAGACAAGGTAGTAAACATAAGTATTAAGTTCACCAGAATGCAGTAATACAAAATGCGTACATAGTACTAAGTATGATTTCATTTAAATAATCATGTAAACCATGTTTCAGCTGCAGTTTACTTGTGAAGCTAGAGGGGGAAGAGGCAAAAGACTGCAAAAGTTGAGTTGTACCCAGAATGTCCTATCTTCTAAATCAGTTTTCCTCTCTGGGAGTTAACACTGGTGGGCTTCTCTCTCCTACTAGGCCTTAAAGCTGATCTTTTTCTGTAGCAACTACAGAGGGGGAAAAAAGTATCTTTTGTCTCCCTTGCTGAATAGGAAAAGAACATAAATATATACAGACAGGGAGAAGGACTAGTCTTGAACCTACTTTAGTCCGTGGCAAGATAATTTCTCACAATTCCTATTGTTATCCCAGATAGATACAGCATTCTGATTTGCAAGAAAGAGCTCATATTGTTGCAAGTATTTCTATAGCACTCTATATGAACAGTAACTGTAAATCTTTTAAATTCCTTGCTGTTAGGCAAATGAGTATTACCTTTATAGAATGAAGAACTAAGAAGTGAAGCAGTGACTTGTTAGACACCAGGCTGAGCAAACCAGTGGCAGGTCCCAGACTGCAATTTAAGAATGCCTTGTTCCTAGTTCTTTTCCTATTATACCAGCATGCATTGCTACAAGTGCACAATATTTATAGTTCCAAGAAACGTTAGGTAAATGTTCAGCATGAGAGAAAAAATGTCTTCCATGTTATAGCTGGACATCTTGAAGATAAATGTGAAGACAGAGGCTCTTACAAAGATTTTTGTTTATCATTGTGCCTAAGCCTGCTCAGAAATTCTCTTGGAAGTTAGAGAAGACAGCAGAGTCCTTTTGGGTGGCATTCCTCTGCTCTTTTCCAGGAGGCTGCCCTTGCCCTTCACTGCTGTCTCCGTACTTTCAACTCCCAAATCAGATAGCACCTACTCTGCAGGTGTTCTGAAACCATCCGTTCTTATAACGATGAAATCCATGGGAAAAATAACAGCACATGACTGTGTAAAAATCTTTTTGCCAGAATGCTTGCAAATAATAAGGCTGAATAAAATATCCTAAATTATCTTCATCTTGCTCTTTTGAAGTTTTGAATGTAAGAGTTCATAATGTATGTTTTTTTCCTGTATGTTTTGGAAAAAAAATTATCATACTGGTTTCTTAAAGGGGAAGAGAAAAACTTAAACGTAATTACATATTTTCAGCAGCAAGGTTTTTTTATTTAACCCTAGAAGTGTCCCTTGGGATACAGAACTACTGTTGCAAGAAATTTCCAGTCTTACTGTTCAGCACACAGGCTTACCAACACTAGGGGAAAAAAAAAGCTATGATTGGAATTGTTAGACAACCCTAATATATAGATTGCTGATTTGTTTTTTTCTTTTTTTTCCCCCTTTTTTCCCCTCTGTCTCTTTTTAGAAAGAGTGAGCCTTATTAGGGTATGATGTGTCTTATTAATACTTACATCTTGCAAGCCATCTGCGTTTATGTTCCCCTTCAAACCTGTGTGAGTTCTAAACACCCATTGTTTCCAGACTGTATTCTTCTTTACACCTTCATAAAATTCTCATTTTCTCCAAAATATTTAGATGTTTAAGTTACAGATTTTTGTGTATATACTTACCAATTATAAGCAGCAAGAGTGTTTGAATAGCAAGATAGATGGAAAAGTAGCTTTTTGCACATTAAAGCACACTTTTTCCAAACACAGAAACTATTGTAAATGTCTCTCTAGGTCAGTGTGTGCTGCTGGTATGTTTGCAGCTTCCTGGAAACAGAAAACATCTCCTTTAAAAAAAAAAAAACAAAAACAAAAACACAAACAACCTAATTTGTAGTGAACAGACATTTCATCTGTGTATTTTAAACCATTCATTTAACTATTAAAAATATAACTTTCCACCACTAGAGTAAAATGCAATGCTTGAAAAAATCTAATGTCCGGATAGGAGGTTTTCATGCAATTTTTTTTCAATATAAAATGGTGAAAATGTTATCTATCATGTTCTTTAATTTTGTGGATTCTGTAGATAAACCAGTCCTCTACTTTTGCTAGACTTACTGAAAAATACTGCATACAATGGTTACCTATAATATATCAAGATACGCTCATAAATTGGTTAATAAAATTTTAATGCCTTAATTCCTATTAACATGATTTGTCTAAAATTGATTCAGTAGAAAAGCACTAAACTGTAGAAATGCAACTCTGTTAAGCAATGTGCATGGTACAGTTATTCATAGTCACTATGAAAGAGAAGACTAAAGCAGTCAGCACTATTTCTGGGTGTCATGAAACAAAAAGTGGCTTTATCCTATTGGAGCTGATCCCAAAGCACATTGCAGATCTTATGACCAGAGAATTAAGGTTAAGAAGTCTGTTCTTGTCAGCTTTAACTTGGGTCAAGGTTATTGTTGGTTAATGTGCTTGGAGTTAAATATTAGCTCTTTACTTCCCTTAGGCAAACTGGAAATATAGTTTATATTTAAATTCTAAGCAGTGATTTTTCATTATTTTTTTTTCTAGCGTAGTAGCTAAAACCTCTGCTTTTGTTTTGTTCTTTGGTTTCTGTTCCCTTTAAGGTCGCTTGAGTTATCCACACCCAGGGACTGACAATCTTCTGATGTTAAATGGTAAGTGCTAATCTTGTAACAGTTTCTAATTATCTCTAGCTTAGCTTAAATCTGACATGTTGGCATAAAATTATACCATTATATTCTGTTATTGAATTACTTGCCTCTAGTATTCAACACAGAAAGGACTGTTGCCATTTTTGAGAGTTGAATGGCAAGAGCTAATCTTGCCGCAGCCTTTCATTATATCTAGCTTATTTGAAACCTGAAATGCTCATAATGATGCACTGTTCTTTTTTGTTCTCAAGCAAACCAGTGGTTATGTTCTCCAAAGATCTACTAGAATTCTGTTACACCGAAACAGGAATTAGAAAAATAAGGCCAGAAAAGCATGCAAAGGCATGTTTTTCTTTCTTGTATAAATTAAGGATTAATTAGATAATTTGATTACTTTTATGTGAAATAACATTTTATTTTTCTGGGGCGTTTGGAACTGGTTTTGTCAAATAAGTTTCTAACTGCAAAATATGCTGAAGTTAGAGTTCATGTTCATGTTCCTCTCCCAGTGGGTCAAACTTCATGAACATCTGCTACTCAGTGAAGGCATGAACTTTAGCCTTTGCTCAAGGCTAAAGAAGGAAGGAGAGCTTGGTAATCCATCTAAGTCAATAATAAATCAGGAGTTTTGCACACAAATGTTTTTTACATGGGGAAAAGTTAGAGCTATAAGGCCACAGTTTCTCTAGATGAGAAGATATGGAAGCTGTTGTACGTGAAGCAAGTACACTGTTGTCATTTACTTGATGAGTCTAAATCTTACAAGTAAAAACCTAACTGTAAAAAAAAAAAAATACAGTCAGAATAATTATTTCAGGTTTGTGGCTCTGTGGAGCTCTGTTTTTCTAATTGCCTTACTTTTCTGCACAGTCATTTACACTTGTGCAAATGGATATAAATTGTAAAAAGATAGCTAATTTGCCTTGTATAATACCAAGTAAGTGCTTAAGATTTTGAAGAAATTCAAGTTTAGCTTTATAGCTACTGAAGGAAAATATTGTACAAGGTTCTTCTTTATTTGAAGAATTAGGTCCTTTGAATTTTTGAATAGCTCTTTAAGATAGAGTATCTCGAAAAGTGAAAATAGCTATTTATCACTTGAAATAAAATTAGTGTTTAGCCCACAGTCAAGATTCCTATACATTGAATATCAGTGTGCCTGATGTTACATTTATAACAGTTAATTTTCTGTATTTACGGCAATTCTAACAGGCATTCTGCAAGCTGCTTTGTTAATGTGATACGTGTGCAATTGTAGTTATCTGCTGATTTAGAATGACGTGTCAGATGGGAAGGTATTAAAAAACAATCGTATTAGCAACTGTGAAATATTTCAATGTGATCTGTATACAGAAATTAATATAATTAATTTGTTTTAATACTTAGAATGGTGAGCTTCTCTTTTCAGTTTTGCATGCTAAAGACCGTGTGGGAAGCAGTGTTCCTCTATGGAATATCTAGGAAAGAGGTTTTTACTGTTATGATGAACATTGCAAAAATGCACCTGAGTGGTACTGGTCTATCCTGAAAACATGACCACAGAGCTACAACATGCACTAAAGAGTATCTTGTTATTAATGCTGGTGGGGTTTCTACTGCAGTTTGGAAATTAGCACTTCATGTGATGGTTGTCCTCTCTAAAAGCTGCAATATTTCCAGCCTTCAACAGGTGAGATAAAAGTAACAATTTGACTATCTAAAAGACAGGTGCTGCAACACGAGTTTTAGGGGTGCCCTTTAGAATTTAATTCAGAGCCCTGGTTTAGCTACCTAAGCTCTCTACCATGTACCTGTCACTGCAATCACATAACGTTCAGAGCCACCTCCAGTTGGAGTGTCTGAACTGCAGCTCCTTACAGCCCAAGAACAGAAGCACTGGCAACAGCATTTGGGAAGCTCCAGCTGCTCCGACTGCACAGCCTTCATTTCTTAGCAAGAATTAAGAGGTTTCCTACGAATCTGTGGTAATGAGAATTACAACTTGAACACTTGCTGTAGACATTGGTTTCCTTCTTTGCTTAAGTGGATTCAAGCGTCTCTGTAACTGGTGCCTTGGAGGGAGGAATGGGCAAGAGCAGAGTTGGTAATCCAGAGACACACGCCTGTCTCTTGCTTTCTCAGTAAGAGCTGCAGTCACTACAAGGAGGAGCAGGAAAATCAGACCTTCATAAAAGCAAAGCAACAACTTTTCTAAGGATCCTGGGCCCATCTATGTGTGCACTAATATGTAACACTGGATCATGGCCCTTGCTTGATTTTAGTAGACTGGTATCTCTGGATCCCAGTAAGCTTCTGTTGTGAGCCAAGCTGAAATTCCTCAACCCTTTTAAGACTAAGCACTTCTAGACAAATTTTTTTAACCTATTTTTTCCTCTTCTTAAATGACAGATATTTTCCAGCTCATTTCAAGTGCACTTACTGAACTGTACCTAATATGCATATTTACAGTTTTTGTTATTTAAATGAACCAAAGGCAAGCTGATTTATGTGTTTTAATAAATCATATATCTGATAATTACATATCTGTTTCAGCTCAAACTGTAAAAAAAGCAGTTCATTCTTAATGGCTGTTATCTCTTAAAAGTCAAAAAGAGATAATTTTAAATAGATTTACCTGAGCATATCTTTAGTTGTTGACTTAGAACCCTTTTGTAGCAAATAATAATGCAAAAGTGAAAGTTGTTGGTGTAGGGTGTTTTTCCCCATTATAGAGTTCCCTCCCTTTTATAGTTTCAATGCATTGAATTTTTTTTTTTTGTATGGCTATTGAAACATAATTCACCATTTCATTAGCTTAATAAGGGAGTATTAGACTCCATTTTACAGATACTATAGATTGTTGTGCCTCTTACAAAAAGGTGTTTTACTTCAAGCAGAAGTTATTAAACTCCCTGTGCAGGAATTGCTAAATGAGTTCCTGTTAGGCATGCCAAACTTTATTGGTCATAGTGATCTCTTTCAGCCTTAAAATCTATAGAGATTTCTAAGGAAATCTTAGTAGAATTTAGACACCCAAATACAACAGAATAAAATGGGAATTAGGCACCTCCCTCCTTTAGTCTAGACACTTAAGAAACTTTTGCCATAATACATGAGTGTATCTTTAAATGACAAGTATTAATGAAAAAGGTTTCATTACTTCATTGTCACTATTCAACCATTAAATCAGAAATGTTAGTGACAAATAGTATTTTATTTATCATAAATTCCATAGTTATCTTTAAATATAGGAAGCTTGCCTAGTAGATTTTTTCTACAATACAACGTATTTTTCAGTTCAGTAATTCAGTTGAATTATTTAAATATCTACAAATTTGATCTCCAGCATATATGTGAAATACATGTCTGTATAAAATTGAAATTATACGTTTACTATGTGTGTGACAGCATTGCTCACATAATATGCAAAATTATATTGTCTTTATGTCAGATAAACATCCACAAAAAATATTTACTTCTGTGTCTCGTTTCCATTGCTAAGCTGATTTAAGTTGCAGAAAGGGGGGTATTTGGTTTTTGGACAGGCTTAAGACAGTAGTATGTAACTTCAAGGATGTAGAAAAAGATTTTAACTATAAGAGAAGGTCTTTGTTGTATAGACAATACTCTTAATGTTGGAAGCCTCCAGTGTTATTCGACTTCATTTTTATTTGGCACTGTTATACTTCTTGTGTGTGTTTCCTAATTTCTATTTTCTGGAATACAAGTCTATCTCTTGTACTTTCTCACTCACTTGAAATCTTTCAGAGTTTTTCACTATTTAAGATACCCAGTTTTACAGACTAAAAATACAAAAAATATTTTTGCATGACTTTTTTTTGAACAAATTCAGGAAGGAAGGAAGAATTTTAATCTCTCCTTTCTTTGTGGTTGTAAATGAATTATTTGCCTACAGTGTCAGGCCTTTCCCAAAGGGCTGTCTCCCCTGTAATTATTTATCGAAATATGTGCACTAATTAGGTAGATGTGTGTGTTAAATACATATATATTCATAAACTATATATGGCTAAATCTATAATTAAATACATATGTATATATTTATAGACCACATGCTCTGTAAGCATATATCCTCTGAAAGGTATAAAACATGTGCATGCTATTTTAGTAAATACAGAAATATTCCTGATTAAACCTAATATTCAGAAGGAGCCATCTCATTGCTTACAATATACTAATAGTTTGATTCAGTGGAACTGTTTTCACAGGTAGCATCTAGATTTTCAGAGTAAGTTTATATATGTGTGTATGTAATATGGAATTTCATGAAGATAGGAATAGGTTTGGTTTAACATTTTTGTTAAAATTCGGTACTTATTGTTATTAAAACAAGTTACATATAACCACTATGCACTTAATGTCTGGATAAAAACAGGAAAAAATAGCATGTTTTTCAAAACCATACATTTTAATGTGAATGATAATATTTATTGCAAGAGTGCCTACAGATTGTCTAAGAATGGGACTGCGTTCTTCTAGATGCAAAGTGGCAGAAAATCCCTGCCCAAAACAGTGTGCAGTCTGAATGGACAAGACAGATAAATGTCAAAGAAGGGGCTTTGTCATACAAGTAAAGTAAATAATGTGACAACATCAAGTACAGTTGTTTTCTTATTTTCTCTAATTTCATTGTTTTGCTGAAGCAGAGTACACAGATAACTTCAGTACATCATTGTAATTTTTAGATACGCAAAACATACTGCAGCAACTACCCTTTTAAGTTGAATTGTATTGTGGTTGTTTTAGCATTTTAATAACTTATGTTTATCCTTAAAAGTACTGTTGGGTTTTTTTAACTGTACAAAGAAAAACAGTTCAGGTGTTCTGATATGCATATTTTTATGCATATCAGCTTGTCGTAACTATGAAAATAAAAAAAAGGCTGAGGTGATTTGTTGAGCAGATAGGAGCAGAAGAGAAGAAATATTACTAGAGCTTGTCCCAAAATATCCTTATTAATATGCATTTATATATTATTCTTTTGAGAGATAACATGGCACTGCATT